GGGGTTTGATCCCTGGCACCGCATTCCATGCTGGTCCCGGAACTCCAAGCACACCGTGCTGGCCACCGACCCAGGCATGGTGGTACATGCCTGTAATCCCAGCACTGGGGAGATTGAAACAGGAAGATCACTACCAGTCCAGCTGCATAGTGAGACCCTGTACCGAGTAAATAAATAAATCTTCAAATGGAAGACTTTGCAGTGAGGAGTTAAAAGGCAACTTTTATTACACCATCAGGCTGGGGCACCCAGAGATTCAAATCACCAGCCCAGACTCAAGTTTGAGTTCAGTTTAAACATGGTTTCAAGTGGGAAGTTATAAAGCTGATGTGACTGGTTACATGAAATACAAGAATTGAGTCCTATGTTGTCAGGAGGGTTTCTATAGGACCATTCAGGGAGGGGGGGGGGTTCTGAGAAGAGTAAGTGGAATTGGAAGTGCCCTTGAGGGCCCGGGGAGATGGCTCAGTAGAATAAGCGCTTGCCTGGCAAGCTCAAGGGCCTGAGTTCAAGCCTTGGTTCCGCAAAGAAGAAAAAAAAAAAAAAATCACCTAAACTTGATTAGCTTTACAAATCAAAGATTATATTTTTATGCAACAGTAATTTCAGTGTGCCATATTCACCTGGTGAAGCGTAAGCAAGGCCATGGATAGGAAAAACTATCACTGGTAAAACAGGAACAATTTAACCAGATTTTGTCTACTGAATTTCGAGTGTTTTTAGGAAGTTGAATTTTTCCAGCCCCCAGACAACACATGCTTTCTCCAGGAAGAATCTAAATGGTTCATGTGGTTTTGTGGCTTTAGTAGCAAAATGTCCCGTTGTCACGTCTAAGCCTCCTACCTAGGCAGGAGGACCTCCTCCTCCAGCAGCCTGACAGTTGTTTGCCAAGGCCTTCATTACCATGAAGTGAAATGAATGAGGATGATTAAATAGATGACAAGATGCCACACTAATCTCTGATTCATGGCCTCTGAGTGTATGTCCGAGGCACTGTTTATTTTTTACAGCCTTCTTGATTTGTCATTCACTGCTCAAAATTACTTTCATTTTATGCTTTTTTTTTTTTTTTTTTT